GGGCTAGCACTCCCTAGCGCCAGTACTTCCTGGCACTCCCTCGGACTAGCACTCCCTAGGACTAGTATTCCCTAGGGCTGGTACTCCGTAGTGCGAGTACTCCCTAGGACGAGTACTCCCTTGGACGAGTACGCCCTAGGGGTAGTAATTCCTAGGACTGGTACTCCCTGGGGCTAGCACTCCCTGCGGCTAGTACTCCGTAGGACTAGTACTCCTTATGAACGATATTACCTAACACCAACACTACAGCACCATTGTACTACCACACTACAGCACTACTACCACAATACCAGTACCACAACACCACAACACCGCTACCACAACACCACTACACCGCTACCACAATACCACAACCACAACACCACAACACCGCTACCACAACACCACTACCACAGCACCACTGCCACTACCACAACACTACTACCTACTAACAACTCAACAACACTACCAACACCACACCACTAACACAACACTACCAACACCACACCACTAACACAGCACACCACTACCAACACCACACCACTAACACAGCATACAGCACAACCAGCCACTACCAACACCACACCACTAACACAACATTACCAACACCACACCCCTAACACAGCACAGCGACCACCACACCACTAACACAGCACTACTACCACGTTGGTTCCAGGTGGGAGTTACTGTGGCCACTTTTGCTTGCGCGGGAGTGCATTCCCTTAGGGGGTGCGAATCTCTCCAGATCTAACATGAGATCCCTTTACATATTACTTTTCATTGAGCGGCCTGCGCGGGCCACAGTAACTCCCATCCCGCCGCGCGACGGGCCACACTAACACCCAACGGGCCACACTAACACCCAACGGGCCACAGTAACAACCGGTCGCGGGGGGGAGCCCCCCCCTCTTTTCCCCGATCCGTCGTCGGGGAACCCTCCCCCCCCCTCCTTTCCCGATCCGTCGTCGGGGACCCCCCCCCTTCCCCCCGTTTCCCGGTCCGTCGTCGGGAACCCCCCCCCCCTTCCCCCCATTTCGGATGGGGGGGGGGTCCGACCCTCCCCCCCCTCCCCCCTTTGGCCGCCAAATTCGACCTCCCCCCCCCCTCCCCTCCTTTGGCAACGGCGCCCCCTGTCTCCGGAACCCGACCCCTACCACCCCTAACACTAATCCTCACCCTTGCCCTAAACCCTAACCCTAACCCCGAACACAAACCCTAGCCCCAAACAGAATTCACTAATCAGTACGCACTACTCACTACCCACAGTTCACTACTCGCTACTCACAAGTCACTTCTCACTACTCACTACCCACGACTCATTACTCACTCCCCACGACTTACTACCCACGACGCACTACTCACTACTCCCTACTCCCTACCCACTAGCCACTACTCGCTACAAACTACTCGCTACTCACTACCCACTACTCAATACTCGCTACCCACTAAACACAATTCACTACCCACTACTTGCTAATCACAAATCACTACTCACTCCCACTAACCACTATCCACTAATTATTACTCACACTTCACTACTCACGACTCACTGCCCACAACTCACTACTCACTATCCACTAGTCGCTACTCCCAACTCTCTACACAATACTCACTACTCACTACTCACTACTGGCTACTCCCGACGCCCTACTCGCTACCAAATACGCACTACTCGCTAGCCACTACTCACTATTCACTACGCCCCCACTACTCATTACTCACTACTTCGTTCACCCAACTCACTACTCCTAACTCCGAAGTCACTACTCACTACCCAGAATTCAATACTCACAAAACACGACTCACTGCCCACTACAGCACTACTCACTGCACACTAACCATTCGCCACTACTTACCACTGAAAACTCACAATTCATTACTCACTACGCACCGCCCAGAACTCACGACTCACTATCCGCTCCTCGTTACCCAATATGACATATTTACTACCCACTACACACTACCCGCTGCTCCCTACTCCCTATTCGCTAGTCACTAGTCGCAAGGCGCTACCCACTACTCACTACTCACGACTCACTACTCACAAATTTCTACTCGCTCCTCCCTACGCACTACCGACTATTTAATACCCACTTCTCGCTTCTCACTACGCACTACTCACTACTTCCTACTCACTTTTCACAACACACCCCTCACTACTCACTACTCGCTACTCAGTACTCGCTACGCACTACTCCCTACTCACTACTGACTACTGACTCCTGACTATTACCTCCTCACTACTCACTACTCACAACGCCCTACTCGCTACTCTCTACTCACTACTCGCTACTCCCTACTCGCTACCCCAGACTCGCTACTCGCTACCCGCTTCTCACCACTCACTACCCACTACTCTCTACTCGCTGCGCACTACTCACTACTCACTACCCACTACTCACTACCCACTCCTCGCTATTCGCTACTGTCTACTCCCTCATCCCTACTCCCTGTTTACTACTCAGCATGCACTACTCACTACACACTACTCACTCCTCACTCCTCACAACTCCTTACTCACTACTTCCTTCCCACTACTCACTACCCACTACTCACTACTCACTACTCAATACCCAGTAAGCTCTACGCGCTACTCACTACTACCACTGCCCATTCCCCACTGCTCATTACTCACCAGTCACGACGCACTGCGCACTATTCACTATCAAATACCCACTACCCACCAATCACTACTCAAAACACTCTGCTCTCTACTCGCTACCCGAGAGGCCCCCTCCCCAGCCCCCTTTGCGCCGAGCGGGGGAGTGGGGGGAGGGGTCGAAAATCGCCCCCTCCCCCCCCCCCCTTGAAAAGGCGGAGGGGGGAGGGGAGTGGATTCTGCGAGCACCCCCCCCCCTGTAGTGGATTCAGGGCCGTTAGCTGGCGCGCTTCCCAAATCTTGCCCCCCTCCACAAGCACGAGGGAATGACGGTGGATGCAGCCTTAGAAATATCCCGGCGAAGGACCCAACCATATGAAGTTGTGGGTGACGCAATTGTGAATATCTTCTTCGGTGAAGCTCCCCATGGGGCCACGAAGCGCTGCGCTGGGCGGGGGGGAACGCATGCGGGCGGTAGCACTGGGGCCGTCGGCGAAGCTCCCTATGAGGCCACGAGGCGCTGCACTGGGTGGGTGAAAATACCACATTAGGCGTGTGGGACGCATGCGGGCGGTCCCGTTAAGGGCTTCGGTGGAACTCCCCATGGGGCCGCGAACTGTTGTAAAAGGGTGGGTGGGCATGCCGAATTGGGGGGGGGGGGGGCGCGCGCGGGCGGCCCCACTGGGGGTTTCGGTGGGGCTGCCTATGGGGCCACGAAGCGCTGCACTGGGTCTGCGAAGTGTGAAATTTGGCGTGGGGGACACATGCGGGCGGTCCCACTGGAGGCTTCGGCGGGGCTCCCTATGGGGCCACGGAGCGCTGTGCTGGGTGGGTGAAAATACCAAATCGGGCGTGGGTGGCGCACGCGGAGGGTCCCACTGGGGGTTTCGGTGGGGCTCCCTATGGGGCCACGAAGCGCCGTGCTGGATGGGTGGCAATGCCAAGTTGTGTGTGGAGGACGCATGCGGGCGGTCCCACTGGGGGCTCCTCCGGTGGGGCTCCCTATTGGACACGAAACGCTGTACTGGGTGTGTGAAAATGCCACAGTGGATGTGGGGGACGCATGTGAGCGGTACCACTGGGGACTTCGGTAGAATTCCCTATGGGGTCACGAAGCGCTGTGTTGGGTGGGTGAAAATGGCTAATTGGGCGCGGGTGGCGCACGCGGGCGGCCCCACTGGGGGCTTCGGTAGAATTCCCTATGGGCCCACGAAGCGCTGTATTGGGTGGGTGAAAATGGCAAATTGGGCGTGGGGGGCGCATGCGGGCGGTCCCACTGGAGACTTCGGCGGAGCTCCCTACGGGGCCACGAAGCTGTGTACTGGGTGTGTGAAAATGCCAGATTGGGTGTGGAGGACGCATGCGGGCGGTCTTACTGGCGGCTTCAGTGGGGCCCCCTTTTGGGCCACGAAGCGTTGTACTGGGGAAAATGCCAGGAGGAAGGGGCCGAGGAACCCCTCTTCATGCCTCCCCTTCCCCTTCCTCGTCCTCCTCCCTCCTTATCCTCCTCCTCCTCCCCCCCCTCCTCCCCTCCTCCCTCCTCCTCCTCCTCCTCCTCCCTCCTCCTGCCCTCCTCCTCCTCCTCCTCTTCCTCTTCCTCTTCCTCCTCCTCCTCCTCCGTCTCCCCCCTCCTCCCTCCTCCTCCTCTCCTCCTCCTCCTCCTCCTCATCCCCCTCCCCCCCTCCGCCTCCTCCGCCTCCTCCTCCTGTTCCTCCTCCTCCTCCTCCTCCTCATCCTCCTCCTCCATTCCTTTCCTTTATAGATAACTTCCCCCATGTCGCACCCCGAGGTCAGTCTTTAGGGCGGCCTGGGCGTTTCGCCTGAAACTTCCCCACCACTTACGACCTTGAAGCTTCAATATTGGCAATAGCTTCGCATATGGAGGGCGGGTGGTATTCCTCCTCCTCCTCCTCCCCCTCCTCCTCTCGCTCCCCCTCCTCCTCCTACTCTTTCAGCCTTTCAGCCTTTTAAAACTACATGATCCCACGGCGTGAGGCCAGCAGCAGAGATCGAGAGCGAAGCGGGACAGAGTGGCTAACAAAACTTGGGCAAACGCAGCAACCTCAGCCTCTCTGAATGGGGATGCTGTGGCCGAAATATGTCTTGGTGGATGGGTCAATCCCCCGCTTAAGGAGGGACAGACTATTGGCAGCGTCTCGATTTGCTGGATGCCCGAGGCACCTCGCGCCCAACTTCAAGATCTTAGCTCTGCCAAAACACCCACGCACCGAACAATAGTACAAACGCTGATTCTGGACGGACTCGAGACTCCTCCAAAGTCGATGGGTCGAGCGCACCTGACGAATTAGCTTGGGGATACCCGTGCAACTAGTAAGACCAGCCCCGTGTATGTCCTCGAACGGGACAAACAGATCGTACAGGCAAATCCCTTGCCACAGTGCTGAACCTGATGGCCGTTCGGGCTCGGCACTATGAGCAGCTCGTTGGGTTTCGCCCTGGGCCGAGCCTTACAATACTCTACATCAGGAAAACGACGCCGCGACCAATGTCCGAGAATCTTCGCCGTATAACGAGCGAGAGAGGCGAGCCGCTCGGCCTGCCTGGCCTCCAGGTCCTGGAGGTACCGCGAGTGGGGGACCTCGTGGGCGGCCTGCTTGGACCAATAATCGACGGCGCGATTGCCGTGCCACGCCCAGGCTGGACAGCCTACCTCCTCCTCCTCCTCCTTCTTCCCCTCATTGTCCTCCTCCTCCTCCTCCTCCTCCTCCTCCTCCTCCCCCCCTCCCCCTCTCCTCCTCCTCCTCCTCCTCCTCTTCCTCCTCCCTCCTCCTCCTCCTCCTCCTCCTCCTCTTCCTCCTCCTCCTCCTCCTCCTCCTCCTCTCCTCCTCCACCTCCTCCTCTTCCACCTCCTCTCCTCCTCCTCCTCCTCCCTCCTCCTCCTCCTCCTCCCTCCTCTTCCTCCACCTTCTCCTCCTCTTCCTCCTCCTTCTCACCATCATGCTCCTCCATTCCTTCCCGCTGTAGATAACTTCCCCCTGTCGCACTCCGAGGTCAGTCTTTAGGGCGGGCCAGGCGTTTCGCATGAGACTTCCTCACCACTTACGACTTTGAAGCTTCAAGATTGGCAATAGTTTCACAGATGGAGGGCGGGTGGTTTTCAAAATGTGGCTCTCGCCTTAACGCGGCGCACATTCGTTTTCTAATGCAACAAGAGTTTCACGGATTGAGGGCGGGTGGTTTTCAAAATGTAGTTCTCGCCTTAGCACGGTGCACATTCGTTCTAGAGCATTGCAAGGGCTTCACGGATTGAGGGCGGTTCCTGTTCAACATGTGGCTCTCGCCTCAGCGCGGCGCACAGTATATTTAAAACATTGCAAGCGCTTCACGGATTGAGGGCGGCTCTTTGTCACAGCGAGGCTCTCGCCTTAGCGCGGCGCACTTTGTTGTAAATGCGGTACCATTTCAATATGTGGCTCTCGCCTAAGCGCCGCGCACATTCGTTGAAACAATTTGAAAGAGCTTCAGGGGTTGAGGGCGGGTGGTTTTCAAAATGTGGCTCTCGCCTGAGCGCGGCGCATCTTTGTTTTTAAAATTTGCAAGAGTTTCACGGATTCCCACCATCAACGTACCAGAGATGGTGTTTCGGAAAGATTCAGGATTACGCGGGTGCAATAATTACGTTGGTTCTCTGTGCTGAAGTCCTAGGAATGGCGTTCTGGCACGAATCAGGATCGTCAAGACGCAACAGTCAAGTTGATTCGTTGCGATGGAATCCCGGGAACAATGTTTTGGCATGCTTCAGGGGCTTCAAACGGGCGTCTGCCAACGAGGCAATTCCATCAATGGAAATGAATCGTTGTAGGGTCCTACGAGAAGGAAACTTGGAGGGAGGGTTTACTCCAACATCGTTGATGACTCTTGGGTTTACACTGGTCCTCCTCCTCCTCCTCCTCCTCCTCCTCCTCCTCCTCCTCCTCCCTCTTCCTCCTCCTCGGCCCCCAGCGGCGATCAGGCCGTCGGGCCCCAGAAAAGCGGGGCCCCCATCGGCGATCAGTTGGCGACTGGGGACCGATATGTCCTCTCCGGAGCCTATCCCCTGGTGCTCTTCGGGCCACAACTCGGGCCCTTCGGTTCGGGGGGGCACGAAGGTGGGGAATGGGCGAAAAGGTGGGAGATTGGACGGACAATCGCTCCGCACAGCCCCTGAAGAAACCAGCCAGCGCGTTAGGCGGGAGCATTCAGCTGGGCCCGTTCCACAGCCCCACCTTGGACCCTCCCTCTACGAACCCCCGATCGGTGGCCGTTCGGGACAATCCAGGCACCTCCGGACGCCTCTCGGCGAGGCGCAGCCGCTGGAGAGCATCCCGAGGCTGGAACACCGCCAACAGTCGAAGAAACACCCGAAAACCTCCTCGAACCTCGAACCTCGATTCCGAGGAGGAAGTCTTCCCCCACTACGTAGCGTTACCCATACCCCCCCCCAGTGGCCCAGGCGCTGCTCCGCCACCACCGCGTCGAACTGGCAGTCCGGCAGGCCGCACCTGCGGCGGGCAGGGCGGCTGGGAGAGGGACACGCGGGAGAGGAGACGCGGCCCGGGCACGAGCTCTGCTTGCCCTTCCCGTGCAGGGCGCCACCAGTGAAGGGCAAGGAAAGAAAGAGCACGGTGAGCATGGCCAAGAATGAACGCGGCAACGTCAGTAAGTATGGATCTTTAGCATCGTCGATCTCGGTCATCGTCGATTCGTGGATCCTTCTCGCGAATCAGTGACGACTGGCATGGACCACGACCAAGAACGGCGTCGACCAGAACCCGCGACGCCTGGGTCATGGCAAGAGATTCTTCCCTCGATGGCAGGAGGGCCCGGGCGGGAATGGGCCAAGATTTCCAGCGTCTTGAAGTGGCCGAGGCCGAGAGTCGCGCGCCGCTCCCAGGGAAGGGAGCGAAAGGTCCAGGGCCCCGAGGCCCCAACATATCGAGGGCCCACTGCGACAGAGTGTCCACTTTGGACGTCGAAGATCTAAGCTTGGCTGCACACGTTCGGCTCGTCGCGCAGTGCACTCGCGCTCGACCCAGAGACGTCACGGGAGCAGTTCGGCGCAAGTGAGCGCAGGTCGAGCGGGTCAGAGAAAGTCAGCGCGCCCCTGGAGGCCCGAGTCGGCACCTGTCAGCGCAGGTCAGCGCGGATCGACGCAGGCCAGTCACCCCCGCGCTGACCTGCGCTAACATTGGTTTGGCTGCGCTGATTTGCTCCTCCTACTCTTCCTCCTCCTCCTCCTCCTCCTCCTCCTCCTCCTCCTTTGTCTTCTTCCACATCTTTGTCCTCCTCCTCCTCCTCAACTTCCTCCTCATATTTACGTTAGGCCAACATGAGCGACGAAGCTGTTGAAGTCTTCCTCCTCCTCCTCCTCCTCCTCCTCCTCCTCCTGCTCTTCCTCCTCCGCCTCTTTCCTACTGTTTGTACTTGCCCATGCTCCGGGAGAGAAGTATCGCTGGGACGGCAAAGGGCCCTCTGGGCATGGATCTGAAGGCATGGCCTCTGTGGAACGAGACCACGGGCCTTTGTGGATTGGGACTCTGGGCCTTCTGTGGAACGAGCTCCTGCCCCTTTGCGGAACGGGCACCTCTGAGGCCTTTGTTAGAGGGGGCCCTGGCCCTGTGCAGCGGGGAGGCAGCAAGCCGAAGGGGCGGAGGGACGGAAGGAGGAGGAGGAGGAGGAGGAGGAGGAGGAGGAGGAGGCCCGGGAGGAGGGAGTGATGCGGATGGAGGTGAGGGAGAAGCGGAGGAGGCGGAGGAGGTAGGCGGAGGAGGGGAGGAGGAGGCGAAGGAAGGGAGGAGGTCCGAGGCTGGAGCGCAGGTCGAGCTGAGCCCACGACAGCTCCAAACCGGTCCCGAGGCACCCCTCCCGGGGGGCACAAAGCACCGAGAAGTTTTCCGAACCGCAAGTGGCCGTGGCGACGAGGGGCCCCCCCTGCAAGGCCACCGACACGCTTCGCCTCGCCTCGCCCTCCCCAGTGACTCCCCGCAGCCGGGGACGCCCGCCCCGACACTCTCAGCCGCGCGGCGGAGTCTCTCGGCGCAGGGCCTCGGGCGCCCGCAGCGGCCGAGGCCTGGTCCACCCCGGTGTCCGCCGCGGCGCAGCCGCGCTGCGCCGGCCGCGCCGCCCTCACGCGCGCCACGGCCGCCCACGCGGCGGCGCCGCCGCCGTGCAGCCGCAGCAGGCGGTCGGCCCGCCGCGCCTCCGCGCGCAGCCGCAGGCCCCGCTGGGCGCTGAGGTACGGGGCCGCCAGGTCCACGCCCGGCTCCCACGGGTCCTCTCGGAGCCTCACAATAGGGGAGGGCATAGCCTCGAGGGGCGAGCCAGGACACGTGCCCCTCTTGGGGCGCCGGGCCCCCAGGGTGCACCCGAGGACATCTGTTCGCCCCCCTCGTTTATCGCCCCCCACGAGGCAACGTCAGTCTTCACGTCCCAGGGAAGCGTTCGGGACCCCTGGGGCCACACATTGAAAAAATCACATCGTCGGGTGTCTGGGAGGAGGGCCAATTCAGACGGCGGTGGTTGGCCGTTCGGGGGGGGCCCTCGTCGCCACGTCCAGACGAAACTCGGGCAACTGGTGCGTCTCGACCCCAGGAAAGGTCCGGGGGGCGATTTTCAGAGGCCTGCCAGATGGGGTCGGAGAAGATGGGGTCGCAGGATCGCGCCGCATCGCCGATGCATCGGCGACCTCGGCGATGCAGTGGCGACGTCCGTGTGGAGGAGATTGCGCTCCACATCGAGCCGCATCGCCGATGCATCGGCGATGCGGCGCGATCCTCCGAGCCCATCTAACTCATCTGACTACTCTGCCCCCATCTAGGAGGCCCAGAACTTTGAGGTGCCGTTATCTCCACATCGAGCCACACGCAAGAGCGACCCTGGGCGAAAGTGCCGTGTCGTGCGTGGCCTGCGGGGGCCGCGGGGAGGCCAACTCCAAACGCGCAGGCCCGTGCTGGCGGGACCCTGTGGGCCCGCACCAGAGCTCTCTCTGGCGAACAGTCACTCCTGTATGAGTATCGGTGGCGAGCGCGGGGGGGGGGGGAAGCGAGAAGGAGGAGGCCTTCTCAGAGGGTGGCGGGACTTCTCCGAAGCCCTCCAGCCCTTCGAGAAGCTCTCTGTGTCTCCGGGGAGGGCCTCGAGAACCTCCCAGGAGGCGGGGGACTTCCGATCCCTCGGAGAAGGCCTTCTCCTCCTCACTTCTCCCCTGGGCTCCTCGATGGACAGCGCGGGCGCGCTGCCTGGCCGCGGACCGGGCGCGGCCGGGGCGGCGCGCCGCGCCCGGCGCCCGAGCCGCGGGCTGACCACCTCGGTGGCCCAGTCGAAGTCTCGGGCGAGGAAGGCGAAGAAGCCGGGCAGCAGCGCCCGCGCCGCCCGGAGGGCCGCGGCCCCGCCGCCGAGCCGCAGCGGCGCCGCGGGCGGCCGCGGCGCGCACTCCGCGCCGGGGCCGAAGGCGCTGAGCTCCAGCCTGCTCGGAGGCGCGAGGGCGCCCAGGAGCCCGCGGAGCTGGCAGAAGAACACCGCCAGGAGGCACCACGCGTAGCCGGACAGGTAGCCCCGGCGCTGCCCAGAGAGCCCGCGAGCCTGGGCCCACGCTCGCACCAGCCTCGCCAGCAGCAGCGGCCGCGCATCGCGGGCTCCGCACTCGGCCAGCAGCGCGCTCTTGCATAGCGCAGCGAGGCTCTGGTCGAAGGACACGTCCACTGGCACCCCTGCGCGCTGCAGGCGGAGTATGGGCCTTCGGGCGTCCAGCGCGACGTACGAGGACCCCCACGAGGCGGCGTCGCCAGCATCCAGCTGCTGGCGCAGCCTCATCAGGGCCCGCGTCGCGAGCAAGCGAGTGCGGTCCTCGTGGCGGAGGCTCGTGTCGGTGAGGCTCATCAGCCGCCGCTGGGCGCCCTCGGAGAGCTCCACCAGCAGGTCCACGTCGGCCAGCGGCAGCGCGGCCCCGTAGAGGTGCGAGCCGACCAGGTGGACGCAGGCCGCTCCCGCCCCGAAGGCCGTCGAGACCTCTGGGGGAGACACAGCGTGCCGATGCCGGAGGAGGAGGAGGAGGAGGAGGAGGAGGAGGAGGAGGAGGAGGAGGAGGAGGAGGAGCTGCTTCCCAGGTCGGCGGTTCAGAGGTGGGGTCCTGAGGCATGGGGTCCCACGGATAGGAAAAGTAATTACCACGAACCGCAAATTCCCCGCATGAGGCCTCCCGCTCTCAGGGCCTCGTCGCTTCACCGCCGACCAGGCCTCCCCTGGGGCGCGCTCTGATCAGGATCTCGGGGCGAACCCAGCAGCGGCAACGAATGGGGCGAGCAGCGGCGCATGGTATCCACCTCTTCCTCCTCCCCCTCCTCCGCGTCCCCCTCCTCCTGCTCCTCCTCGTACTCATCCTCATCCGCCTCCTCCTCTCCTCCTCCTTCTCCTGCTCCTCCTCCTCCTCCTCCTCCTCGTCCTCCTCCTCCTCCTCCTCCTTAGCCTCTGGGGCCTTCGGCGGAGCGTCCTATGGGGCCACCAGGCGCTGTATTGGGCGGCGGAGACGCATGCGAACACCGCCGCTGAGTCCTTCGGTGGAGCTCCCTATGAGGCCACGAAACGCTGTACTGGGTGGGTGAGAAGCTTGCGAACACCGCCACATGAGACTTTGGTGGAGCTCCCTATGAGGCCACGAAGCGCTGTACTGGGCGGGGGCGACGCATGCCAACGCCGCCACTGGGGCATCTGGTGGAGCTCCCTATAAGGCAACGAAGCGCTGCATGAGTTGGGGAAACGCTCGCGAGCACCGCCACTGGGGCCTTCGGTTGAGCTCCCTACGCGGCAACGGAAGGCTGTACTTGGAGCTGTACGGTGATGCTGATGATATGATGCTGCTAATGATGATGCTAATGATGATGATGATGATGATGATGATGATGATGATGATGATGATGATGATGATGATGATGATGATGATGATTCTGCTGCTGCTGCTGCTGGTGATGATGATGATGATGATAACGATGATGGTGATGACGACGACGACGACGACGACGACGACGATGATGATGATGATGATGACGATGCTGATGCTGATGCTGATGATGATGCTGATGTTAACGCTGATGCTGATGATGATGATGAAGATGCTGATGCTAATGATGCTGATTATGATTATGATGCTGATGCTGATGCTGATGCTGATGCTGCTGCTGCTGATGATGATGACGATGATGATGATGACGATGGTCTGGTGGTCATGGGAGAAGGGGGTCAATGGGAGGAGGGAAAGAAAGCGAGGCGCCGTCTGTTCGAAACGAGGATCCAACACTGCAGGACGGTAGGGAAAACAGGTTGTGCAAATTCGTTTTGCTCAAATGTTTGCGAATCTATGCGATTGAAATCTGACTAAAGAAACCTCTGAACAACGAATGTTCTACAAATGGTTACGGGCCCTCTGACCTGAAAAATATGGTTTGCAATGGATGTTCTGCCTCTGGCTTGACACGAGGCGCCACGAGCAGGAGGAAGAGGAGGAGGAGAAGAAGGAGGAGAAGGAGGAGGAGAAGGAGAAGGAGGAGGAGGATCAGGCGCTCTCCGGCGCCACGTGGAACACGCTGATAACGCCGAGGCCTGCATCGGGCCTGCCCCCCTTTCTCCTCCTCCTCCTCTTCCTCCTCTTCCTCCTGCTCTGTCTCTTCCTCCATTCCTTGTCCTGTTCAATAACTCCTCCCTGTCGCACCCCGAGGCCATTTCTAGGTCGGGCAGGGAGTTTCGCGTGAGAATTCCTCACCAGTTATGATCCTGACGCTAAACAATTTGCAACATTTCACATATGAATGTCGGGGCGTTTAAAACTGTAGTTTTCGCCTGAGCGCCGCGCGCATTCTTTAAACAGAAAGATGCAAGAGCTTCACGGATTGAGGGCGGGCCGTGTTCAGAATGTGGTTCTCGCCTTAGCGTC